CAATTACTTTGGCACTAATTTAACATATTTTATTATTGCACTTCGATACAGGAATAATCTTGTGGTTTTATGTACAAGTAGCATATAAGTTTTTACCTTACGGACATATTTTATATCGTACAAATACAATTAAAATGGGAGTGGGTAAATGTGGGAATTGAAGAATTTGAATAAAATGCACATTTCTAAAAACATATTTTAAGATAACAGAAACAATTCGCACGTAATGCATTTCATACTATCATTATTCTAATCATGTCATAATAAAAAAAAAAAACAGACAAAATCATAATTTAAATATTTTTCGAACATTCATTTTAACAAAATTGTCGAGTTTCTCAAGTTAAAATTTAATATTAAACATGAATATTTTGTGTTAAAGAACCAAAGTACAAATTTGACTTGTGTATCGTTTCATTCGACAATTGATAATATACACAATGGATTACGCCATAAAAAAATCATAAAAATATTAAATATATTATATTAAGAGCTTCAGAGCTTATATATATGGAGGAAAAAAATTAATTTTACATTTTAATAGGTTTATACGCGTCCATCAAGATGTACTGTAAAAAAATTGCAAAAATATTTTTCTTCATTATTTTTACACGTATAATGGATTGAACAAAATCAGTTTGACAAAGAAAACATGACGATTTATTTGTAATATTTTGTTATATGTTTATGTCATATGTCATATAAAGGATGGAGTTTTTTTTTTTAACGGAATATTAAACTATTAATATTCACACATATAATTTACAGATACAGCGCATGATAATATACAGTGTGACATGAAGTGGCTAATCGATTTGCTTTTTAAACAGCATTTTGTCGCGTAAACAGCAGTACTAGACAGAAAAAAACATAATAATATAACTTAAATCTTTACAACACAATTTTCCTCTCTCCAATTTATCAGAAATGACATAATGTATCAATACAGCTTTTTCATCGCTACATATAAAAATAACAGAAAAATATTTTAGCAACTGAATTACAAAAAACATTTAAAAACATCTCTATATAAAAACAACTTTTTTTTTTTTAAATAAAACGTGTTTCCTAGCACCCCACTTTTTTCGGTGCTTTAACTATATAATATAATCTTTCACTTTCTTTCATTATTATAGTTCTTAAATTCCAAACTATTGGCCGAAAATTAACATCAGCTTGGATATTGCAAATTTTATATGAATTAGAAAACATACAACTTCCGTTTACAAATGAGCAGATCTGAAATTTCTCTACAGTTCGTGCACCGTAAACTTGTGGGTCGAAAAATTATGCCAGTATTTAGAGCGGACAAAAATAATAATGTCTATTTATGCTTCCTTTCCCTGTTCCTTTACCGTGTCTGTGTGTATGTGTGCGCGCGTGTATACGGTTTATTGTGATAATAATGTTATTATTATTATGTAGGCTGATAGAGGTACATACAAAACAACACACAATAAAAACAATAACATAATATTAACGTGACGCTCACAATGATAATAATAATAATAATAATAATAATAATAATAATCTTAAGAATTTTAATATTCGTAATAAACATCGTCAGCAGCGTATAATTAATTACAATCAACTTGCAGCAAAGCTCAGACGGCAGGACAAACGTAACATGACCGCTACCATCCACTCGAAATTTCCTATTTAAACGTTCCACTTAAAATTATGTACTTCGTTATCACTTATACTGTGTTATATTATCGTCGTTACATAATTCTGTTACAGTACCATGTGGCAGAACTATACAGTTGTCCAGAACTCAGTCTCTCTCTCACACGAGTTCATATTCACTCTCTGACGTGCTTGTTATCGTCACGTTTATCTACTAATCATCACTTGTCGCCATTCCGCGAGTCTAAGAATTTCCGTACCACAAATTTTCCTCTTGCATCTCTCTCTCTCTCTCTCTCTTTCTCTCTCACATTCTTTCTTTATCCTTTTCTTGATCTCTCAACCCCTCTTTCTCCTTTTCCTTTCTCATTTTCATCCTCCCTTCCTCCCTCTCTCTCTCTCTCTCTTGCTATTGATTTTCCGCACACAAAGCGTGCCTGCTTTTCATTTCATACTATATTCATACTCACAATCTTCATATCCACAACCGTATGACACGTTCGTACATCACACACAACAAAAATACATTTGTCACAGGAACGAACATGCACATACATGCGTGAATCGCACACACGCGTGTGTTCAGTTACGCACGTATACGCATGCTCGCATCCATCCGTACATTCACGCGCACCAGATATTCAACACATACAGACACGCACACACACACACACATACGCATACACACATACACAGAGGGGCCACAAAATATGCATGTATAATATATAGTAGCCATTCACACAGACTCGACAGTCTCTTATAATTTAAATAATGTTGCACCTTAGAATAGAGATCCATTGGGGTAGCTTTTTCCTAATTTTCATTAAACATCTGATTAAATTACTTACTCGCTGATGTTCTGATTAAAAAGTATTATCTGCCTGTATTCCGGCCGCGCTTAGGACTTCGTTCATACGAGATCGGTTTCTTCCTACTCCTTTTTTTTTTCTCGTCGTGAAAGACGCGAGCATGTGTTTTCAACGAAAGGTGTAAAACAACCGGCAGACGTCTACGGAGTGCTACATCCACTGGATTTCCAGAGATCAACAACCGTGACATTTACTGGACATCACACACACATGTGCGCGCAGCGCGTGCGTGCGTGCGTGTACGTATGCTTGTGTAAGTTCATACATTGTTAATTAGATTATAAATTAACAAAATTTACACACTCGCAAATTTTGTTAATATATAATATTTCACACATGTTGAAACACATTACATATGTTTTCAGTCTCCTAGTGCAGAAAAAGAAACATGAAATACAATTAATAAAAATACGACGATTGATCTCTCATTAACGAATCCTTAATACTAATAAAATGTTAACAAACGACTATGCATCGTGTTTTAGGATATCAGTGTCATGTCCAGTTTTTATCGACGAATATTCAGACATCCAATAGTATGAAAAATCATATTGTTTAAACACGAATGATCAGCAGAGAAACTTTCGGAATATCCGATATCTCACCGACAATGAAATTAACGGTTTACAATTACATTATCGTCGGCAAGTGGTGAAGTTACTCAGCTCATTAAGTACTTCAATCTTTTGTTTCTTTCACGGCAAGAATTTTGCCCGCGTGCGGGCATGAAAATACTGAGCGTACAATCTTGACCCTGCATAATACCGTTTAGTTTTCATGAAGTTCCCAAACTCAGCCTAGAATGGTACAATTGACCACTCACTAGTCTGACTACTATGTATGCTTTTAACATAAATCGTTTTTTTTTTTACATACAGTAATAAGAATTATAGGTACTAGTTTGCGATCCTTGGTAGGCGATTAGTACGACATCGTGGACATAGCTACCTAATTTTTTGGATGCGTTCGTGTTTTACGCTAACTTCGAAATTCACCATGTTACTTGTTTTGTCATAATAAGAACATAATTGAATGGTGAAGGAAGAATGCGTTTAACCTCTGAATTACTCTGACCCTGGCTTCGGTCAAGAATCATTGTTATAATATACAACGCAATAGTGGACTACACTGCAAGTATATGTAGACTAAACGTGGTATTAATTGATAAAAATCAACGTCTGAATTATAAAAATACTGGAATTGTCAGTTATTAAAAACAAATGATGGTATTAATTGATAAAAATCAACGTCTGAATTATAAAAATACTGGAATTGTCAGTTATTAAAAACAAATGGTGGTATTAATTGATAAAAATCAACGTCTGAATTATAAAAATACTGGAATTGTCAGTTATTAAAAACAAATACATATGTACCGCGTTTATCTACCTGTTAATGAAACTCTCGTGGTTGTTCTATATATATATACGCTTCAAGGATATAGAAAGATTAAATTACTCGTTAAATGATGCGTCGTAAAAATTTCTTGCTAACATCACTTTTTTGTTTAATATTAATTGTATGTAGGTACTTGACACAAATTCTGTAACTCTCTAATGTGATCGTAATTTCTAACGTAATCGTAAATGTCGAAGTGAAAGGCTAATTTAAGGCAAGATATACATGCATTTAGACGAGATCAGTGAGTCCACTTACCCTTTGAAAGAAACTATCCGCTTTATAATCTGCCATACTCGGCGGACCATCCAGCCCTACCTGCAAAATCAATGACGTCTGATGGGATCAGTCCCGCGTATAACTGAAACTTTCCAATTTCCAATGTGCAATCTGGCTCGACAGTGTAAGACGAAGTAACGACACGATGCAATTGGAGCAAGGAAGGGGAGGGTGAGACTCTGGGGCGACAGGAGCAGCAGGGACACTAAGTGACATTAATTACTGTTTACTTTATATATATACACACATACACATTTATGCGTATGTGTAAAAAAAAATATATATATATACATATGTATATATATATATATATATATATATATATGTATATGTATATTTACACATACATATGTATGTATGTATGTATGTATGTATGCATACTGGAGAAAATACTACCGAATTACGAAAATACTACGAATTGGACAGATTGCTTGGTGTCGCATGATGACATGTATTATTCGTAAAATACCGACACCCGATTACCGATACTCGGAAAGAGTCTTCGGGCCGCTTAAAATAGCAGCCCCACACGCGCCCCTTTTATACAATAGCGAAGTCTTCGCTCGTTGTTGAATAAGAATCATAATAATAATTAATTAATAATAATAATTAATAATTAATAATAATATACTACGCGCGAACTTTATCTTTCCTTACAAGTGGAGGCAGTCTTTAAACGGCTGCTCGATAGAGTCCATGAGGATTTTTCGTCGTTTCTGTGGACGTGGATATTGATCGACGGTTTCGTGGAATCGCCTCGACTCTCTCTTTCTCTCTCTCTTTCTCCCCCCTCCCCCTTCCTCGCCCTCTCTCTCTCTCTCTCTCCGTTTTTCTCGATCTCGTACTCTCTCTTTCTCTGAGGCGTCTCGACTAATTTTCTCTGGGGCGTCCAGTGTGTTTAGGCGGCCAAGCCGTGAGGCGTCTGATGTAAGAGCGCAGGATACTGTTGAGCCACATGCGTCAGCTGATGATGGTGGCTACCGGCGTGTGCGTGCGCGTGTGCGTGTGGATGGACCACGGCCGTGGCGGGTGTCACGGTTCCCGACGACGACGCGTGAGTCGGCGGCAGCGGTGTCTGGGGCTGCGGCGCGTGGAGGCTATGGCTGTGACCTGCTACCAGGCTGCTATGGCTGCCTCCGTGACTGCCACCGCTGCTGGACGAGGTGTGGCTGTGATGGTGATGCCCGAAGACGACCCCAGAGAAGGCTACGGGTCACTGATGATGTTTCGTAGAGCCATTCGCGTGATGCGCCTGCGCAACCACGTGGTGACTCGAGGGTGGCGCGTGTGCAGTACTTGGATGATGATGACTACCGGCCGCCGCGTGATGATTCGCGTTATTGGCGCTGCTATTGTTATTATTGTTGTTGTTGTTCTGCTGTTGAGACTGCCGTTGGCTGTTCTTCTTATTCTTCATTCGGCGATTTTGAAACCAGATCTTGACCTGACGCTCGGTCAGATTTAAGTTGCGCGCTAACTCCCACCGTTTCTGCTTCGACACGTACGCGTTGAAGAGAAACTCCTTCTCCAGCTCGAGCGTCTGGAACTTCGAGTAAGGTTTGCGTTTCTTCCGCACCGTCACCTGGCCCGTCCATTCCAGGGGATTGGAACTGCCACATCCGACACCCATTCCGGCCACGCCGACCCCGACGCCTACTCCCGCAAGCGAACCTGCGGGAAACAAGGAAGATGGGGAGGAACCCCACATCACTTAACACAATTAGTTTGCCGATGATAAACAACCTAGCTGCTAGCTAGCAATATTCGACAAGGAAATCCTGCTCGAAGGTGACGACGATTCCGATCCGACTAGTAAGACAAGTCTCAATGTCATTGCTCTTGATCTTATATAAGGTTCGGTACAATTTCATTAGGATTCACTCGCGAAACTAAACCATGTCGTGAGCCGGAGACTCGCGAATAAATGTTTGTCGGTACTAATAAATCGATTACATTTATTATCAGAGCAGACACGTTCGAGCATAAATTTCAAATGAAGAGAACCGCTGCACCTGTTCCTCTTTTCTTACGTCTACTTGTTGTTATTATAAAAGAATCGACAAGAAACCAAAGCAGATGCATTGGTTCGTTAATCGGCGTATCGGCGCGTGACAAATACCGTTACCTCCATTTGTTTACAGGAAACGCTGTGATCTACAATCCACAGTCGTTAACAAATAATTCCGCGAATCGTTGCAAATAATCCCGTCGTCCTAGATATAAGATAACAAGTCGTCGTCACGAGCAAATTGTACGTTCGTTGACGCGCAGAGTTATCACCGTTGCACGTTACACGCGCTGTACGGAGGGACATTTCTTTCATTCTCGCGTTCCTCGTTTCTATCGATGCGAGGGTGCACCGCCAAACTAGCTCCGCACCTGGAGCGGCTCTCTGAATGTCAAAACGTGCACTTCATCTGTACGTCAAACGTCATATAGGTCTTAATTAACTAACTTATTTACCGGAGTTCTCTACGATTTCAATCCTACACGCACAAATTTCGTACATGTACACGAGACATGTGTAATGTGCACGATATATATGCATGTGTGTACAAATATACCCTAGTTGTACATATAAGACGCGTGTGACGCGCTCCGGTGTACGTACATGCGCAACGTCGCTCGTACGTTTGCGTGTATATATACATATATATACACACAAGGGTGTCGCGGCGGCCGTTCCTAGCGTTGTGGTATGATGATATAATTGGACCGGTTCTACTATCCGTGCGGAAAACATGAAGTAGGTGCCTCGGTTGCGCGGAACCGTTGCTAGATCCGTTCTCTCTAGCGCCGGGACGAGTTGTGGTGGTTTTTAACCGAACCGTATCTATGCTTCGTTGCAGACGCAGAATGTGGAGCGAGACAAACGCGTTTGTTAAAGCGGAATATAAGGGAGAGAATAGCATAAGATGCATACGCGGTAAAGCCGGTGTACACGCTGGTAGGATGAAGCGATTACGAAAGCGCGCGCGCGCGCGCGACTCATCCGTCTATCTTTAACCCAGCCACGGGCTGGATAAACGTCTTCGCGTATACACGAATGCAACAAAATTGTTTCTATTCGGCCCGGCGTTTATTCCCGATATTTAATACTTTTTTCCTCCCCCCCCTCACCCCCTCTCGAACGCACAAGCGAAAAGCACATCGAGCGGATATCATGCCGCGCAGAAATTGGTTAAGGCGCTTTTTTTACGCATACGATCGGACGTCCGATGAATAACGTAACGTGGCGCGCGCCGCTCGCGCGCGTTCTGTCAAACCGTTAAAAATGACGCGGCCAGTATTTTCGCACACGCACCGATGGATTTCAAAGATTCTCGCGCGGACGCTGATCTCACGCCGGAGCAAAATATACAAGTGAAGTGACATACGGCAATAATTAATTTAACGAACACATTGCGTTACATTTCGGCGCACAAAAGTGCGATGCCGCGTGGCTCGAGTCGTCTATTTTTGACCGTATTCAAGATCTGAGCAAGAAGTGTTACTGCCGTACGCAACATTGTCGGATCCGACGGAACATATGCTTGCAATGGATCTGTCATCCGCGGAACAATGCGATATTTCAAAACGAGAGAAGGATACTTTCGTGTACACCCTTCCCCAACCCTGTAACAGGCAGTTTTTAGACTTATTAATATTAATATTATACAATATCCCGACTAGTTAAGTCAGAAAAAAGAGATACATTAACATGAGTTATTTATACAATGTGCAAAAAGTTACTTTAAATATTCTCATTGCCAAAGTGCGCGCTTTCCAAGCGAGCGAAAATTTTCATTTCTCGAGCCGTATATCAATCCAATTCTCCAATTTTTCCCTTTTCATTTAGGCTCTCTCTAGGCTTATTTTCAGGCTCTCCCGAGCCTCTTTTCATTTTCCTCTCCCACACTACTGTCCGTTCTTTCATTACCTCCCCACGATTGCTCAACCGATAGAAATTCATTACATATTAAGATATGAAAATATATAAATTATTTAACAAAGGTCGGGATTCTCATGAAATCAACATATATAAAATAAATAGAAAATACGCAGCGTGCACAGGGAAAATAGTAAATTAAATATAACGTTGAGTGTGCAACTGCAAGTAACTAAAATCGGCATGTTACGATAACATATTTACTTATGCGGGTCAATAATTGCTTAATTGCTTAATTGTTTAAGTTAATTTTATGCTATCGTAATATAAAAATATCTGTTTTTTTCACATTACGTATTTAACACGAAAGACGAGAAACATAAAAAAGTAAAGGATATTATTTGCGATGAGAAACGCGGAATTTAAGAACAGTGCATTTTTTAAAATATTGAAAATTAAAGTAAGATGGATTGTGATCTCTACAGAGTTGATAATAAGAAAGACAGATAATATGTGAGGATTGAAAGATGTTCAGCGATCGTTCGAAAAATATAGTAAGTTTCCTCGACTGATAGCCGACGTTCTGATAGAAATGGTCGAAGGGTTCATAGCTGGGGTTGAGTCGCGTGTAACGTAACGTGAGTGTAATATCGATCGGGAACAACTCGATAACCTTTATACCTCCTATACTTTTATTATCGGTTTGCATAAGTTAAATAATGTAAAGATAAAACATTTTCGAGAACACGTCGAACGCGTCGAACAACGTTACAAAAAAATGCTGGAACATTAAATAAAACAAATCTAGCAATCGTGTGTCTCGAAATCACTCCTCATACGGTGGTCGTAAATTTATTCAATTAACAATAAAAGGCGGACATTTTTGCATGAACGCACAAACGACTTCCCTCGGACAATCCATTCGAACTTTACTATGAGCATTCTTTCGCGAATGGAATATTTTATCTCGGAGAAATCGGAGAGACTTGATAGGAAGTCACTTTAAATGCTGAATTTATTCTCGTTCGTAATATATGTGGATATATAATGACGACTGTTATGCTTCAACGGCTTAATTAAGCATGAACCATCGATCGGAGGAGCGTTAAACGCGAACAACCGATAAATATTCGGCAACCCGCGCTCTCGTGAGGCAGAGATAGTATATCTCTCGTGCAGAGACCCACCTTGTGCAGGGACACCTGACCAACATTGTAATTCCGCGGAGATCGCCGGGACTAATACGGGACAGCTCCGAAGAGCGCGATACAGTGCAACGGCGCGCACTCTTCGGTGCCGAGCGAACTGGCAAAGATAATGGAGTCGCCATCTATTGGGCTACGCTTAAACTATACACGACGCCCGCATTTCGTTACTTTGTACGTGCACACGGCATACCTGTGTGCACGTCGTGTAGAGCGTGCATACGATTAACTTACGACCGATCACGCGAACGCTATCTCGGTTATCAGAACGTCGTCGATGGCGGTCGTGCGAGCAACAAAGTAACGATAAATCCTGACGTCGGTCGGCGCATACGGCAACAATTCAGCAGTCCTGGGAGGACAGGAGAGACGGACGGACGGGCGAGAGTTACGGTTAGTGAGACAGGTATCGTTGAGGTGGAAATATTTTCACGACAACTCGAACTCGAAAATTCCGATATCGCGACGCGATTTATCATATCCGGGAATTCCAAAATTATGAGCTCGTTACGTCACGAAACACAGCATTAATTAATGCCGCGAAAGTAGACGTCCGTGAGACACATTACGTAATATCATCAACTGTATCGCGATATGATCAACGTCTGCTTGATCTTTTATTTTAGTATCTTTAATATCCGTGAGAATTTTATAGTCTGCTGTATAGTCACGCAAACGATAGTTTACGTTAATTGTAAAGAATGTAAATATACACGTGAGGCGGTACCGTTTGAAACATCGATCCCCCCCCCCCCCCNCAAGTTTCGATATGGGAAAAATCGTCGACGGAACGTAAAACGATGGGGGAAAAATAGCCTTGACAATACAGGCGCACGAGCGAACAGCCGTTAGTCGTAGAAGACTGAACGCCTGCACGGGTCATGGAACGGATCAGCTGATCGGAGGCGTGCGCCAGAGTTTACGAGTTACGGCCGCCAATAAACCCGCCGCCGTTCGTTGTTGCTCATGCGACGTTTCATGGGCTGCAGGGTCTCGAGAAAAGGACAGAAGGGAGAAAGGACAAAAGAGAACGACCAAATACGTGAATGAACGATGACTGCAGTCTCGTCGGATAAGTTCGTCACGATGAGGAATACTCAGGACACCCGCGATAGGAAGTCACGCGCGATCAGTGTGAATTAGTGACGATCGTTTTTTCTTTTCACCGTCATCCGTGGACACGTCGTTTGAACGTGTGTATTCATCGCTGTGGCGAACCGAACAAATCAATTAGGGGCCTTCGAATTTCACGTCTCGCGTGAATTTCCGTCCGGTTTCCGCAAGTGTGGCGGTATTACGAGAGAGGCGCGTTACGTCAAGTTATAACATACTTGTAACGACTGAGAACTGCCTGGCGTTTACACTTTCGACGAATCAATTTGTTTTCTTCCATTAATTATTCAACGATGCGGATCACCATTTTAATGGAATTCTTTCACGGTATTATCGAGCGTTTACTACTGAATATTAAGGAGAATATCAAGTTTCCGCTCGTAATATGTGTGTTTAAAGAAGACCCAGAGATATACAGCTGCATGAAAGAGAGAGAGAGAGAGAGATTAACAAAACGGAGTAGATGCTTACCTGGAGGTGGGTAGGGGCTGGAGGTAACGGGCTCGGGCGCTCCGTAGTTTCTCAGGCCGCCGTATCCGTCGTGAGGAAAGGCACCTTCCGCGGCGACCATAGCGGCAGCGACTCTACCCCGGTCGTCGGCCGCGGATGGCGTCAGGTACGGTACCCCCGTCTGCGAGTGAGGATGATGGTGGCCGGCCGTGTCGACCGGGTGGTGGTGCCTCGCCGTCGTGTATGGCGCGTAATTGCACCAGCTCTGGGAGAAGCTCTGATGGCAGGACGACACGGCTGGATCGGTCGCGCCGGTGGCACCGGAGGTAGACCCACCGGTGGACGACGTCGTCGTCGCCGCACCGGCCGAGTTGTAAGACTTGTAATCCGAGGTAGAACCGGCGGTGCCAGCCGATCCAGCAGTGGCGGCTGCGGGCGACCAGAAACTAAGGGTGGCCCCGGCCTTCCGGTTGTCCCTGGAGGAGCCGGAGGTCGAGGCAGGATCGGCCGCCAGGTTGTAATACGTGGGGGGATTGTTACCCCCGTAGGTCTGATGATGGTTCAACGATTCGCCCGCCGTGGACGAGTAGTGGGAGTCCTGGGGATGATGCGGGCTGTAACTCCAGCCGCCCTGGGAACCCGCTGAGGAGGAGTGAGAGTGCCGTATCACGCCCGCCGCGCTCGCACCACCCGGCGCGCCCGAGGACTCCACGCAAGCGACTTCCCCGTAAGTGGAACCACCGCCTCCCGGTGTCGCGGTTAATCGCTTCGCGGGTATGTGGAGCGGTCCGGCTGCGCTGTTGCTCGCTACCGAGGAAGCGCTCGGCGAGGTCGAGCTGGCGCTCGCTGTAGGCGCGGGTGGCGCTGTCGTTGCCGATGACACCGGTGCACCGGGTGACGTTGGTGTTGTCGCCTGTTGGTGGGAACCCGGTGTCGAGGTCGCCTGCTGTTGAATTGACACGAGTGTCGAGGCGGTCGGTGGAACTGGCGGCGGGCTGTCCTCGTAGAGGGAACCGTTCATCATGGCCCACCAGGTCACCCCGGTGGAATTCCCCGCTCCGGTTGCTGTCCCCATCGGCGTGACGGAGCCAGGGTGGCCCACGCCGGAGCCGCATAGAGGCGCGGCGTGAACATTATCGTACAGCGTCGCCGTCGAGCAAGCCACGTGATCGGCGATGGTGCAGATGATGACGGTTTGTTACCGGTGTTGTTACGATATTTATGCCGGCGGGATCGATCAGTATCCCGCGGTATCACCGTTCGAGTATCAAGAATCGAGCCGTGCGCGGAATTCACTCCAAGTGTGATGGGCGTCGCGCGATCGTCGTCCCGATCATACCGACGACACGGGCATGGGTGAGATTCGAAAACGCACGTGGCGGATTTTCACCAGGTAGCGGGAAACGGCGAGCTCGCCGCGGCCATCGGGGGCCGTGTTGATCCGTGTGAATTCGCGGGGTTTCACGGGAGCGAACGCGTGCGTCGGTGCCCGGGGGAACAGGGGGGAAGGGAGGGTGGGGATGGAGAAAATTGTACGAATACGCGCGCGTCCGATGAGGGGTTGGTGGCGGGGGAGAGGGTGTGCAGCGCCACGGCAGACAGGTGGAGGGGTAGGCACAGCACAGGGGCGCGAGATATCCGGCGAGGAAAGGAGTCCGCGCGCGCGCCGATGACACCGCCGATGATGTTGTTGACAGGATGATCGATGTGACACACGTGCGGACGTCACGGAGATCCGTTGGTGGGTTGTGCGCCGACGTTACGTACGGTCGTTGTCCGGCCGGTCCAGCGATGCAGGGATGAGGATTCAAACGAAAACAGAGTAACACAGCGCGATTTAGAGGGATAGCGTGTCATAGCACACGGTGTCATCGGACACCGTGGAAAAGAGTGGCGGGCCTGCGAATAGAGAGCCGGTGGGTGGTTCGCTCGGTCCGGAAGGGCAGCGCGCCGTGTGAAACGTGACAGGACACTTGGCAATCGTCGTCGGCCTCTTAGCGGGGAAAGCTTTATTCACTGCGCGGCTGGCTGCTCTAACGTCGTCCCGCGGCCGACTACGCCGCGTGTCACCCCGTCTCCGTCACCTGCGGTTACTGTCATCCCCATTGCGAAGGGATCTCGAGGGCACTTCATCAATAAGGGCGAACGACCGGTGCCGTAATCTAATCCAATCACGAGATCACGAACGGTGTCACTAATACGATATCAATTCAAAAGCACAGAGGTTGTCACGGATGAGCCCCGGTAGGAGGGAAATCCGCCTTCCCGAGCCGAAATCCCCGCTCGTCTCGTGGCCGGTCAGCTGTCAGGTGGTGTCGCCTTTTGACAGCGGGCGCGACGCAGCGGAGAATTTTCGCCGGACGCCTCCGACCTCGAAAAACCGTGCGCGTTGATGCACACACGCACGGCCCTCGCACACATAGAACAGACCCCCTTTCTTCTCGCTGGCCTCGCTGAGCCGAACTGAGCGTCAACTGAGAGCTCTGCCTGCGGCTCGGAGTCGAACGAGCCGAAAGCGACGCTGGCGCGATCTTTGGGATCGTTTGGCAAGCGAACGTACGGACTCGTTGTCTCCCACCCTTCCGACCGCTTCTCTCTCGCGTGCGTTCCTCCACGTTCCCCCTACCTTCGCGCTCGCTCTAATCTGTTTCCCTTCCTTCTCCGCCGTCGGGAGCCAGCGAGCGCAAACATACTAACACGGGGAGAGAGAGAGAGAGAGAGAGAGACTGCTTTCTGCTTTCGAGGAGTATCGCAAAACGCCGAATCTCGGTGCCGCTTTTTTCTCAGGAATACCTTGATACATTCGGCCCGTCGTAAACAGGGCGAAGGCGAGATGACCGTGAGTCACGAATAAATCGAAGATGCGTGGCAATCGCTTCCATTTACTTGACAGAAATCTCTATTTATCGAATAATAAACGTTACTGATTGAAACATATTTTTCAGCAAATATTAAAACACCAAAATGACGTGCTCCCATCGCTAAGTGTATGCAAAGATCTTCTCCGTTAAAATTTCAAAATTGCCGAGCTCCTTTAATTCAAATGATTTATCCGTCTTCTTGAAGCTTTCGTCGCTCGAGTTTAAAAAAAAAGGTCACACGCTGCGCGCGCGCATGCACACATAGTACGCGTGGGTGTATATGTGTATATGTATATTTCGCCTGACAGAATGCAATTCACTTGACTCTGAAGTATTTTAGGAACATGAATACAGTTATGAACACCTGTGTCATTGATTACGTTTAACAGAAATCAGCGCTTAATGATTATTGCCTCTGATATTTTCTGGAATTATCCGGGAAGAGGATCTTCACTCGTAGATAGTCACTAAATGCTTACTTTTGCCGAACATAGCTGATAATACAAGAGTATACTTTCAGTCTATAATTTGCATGCTTCAAAGTATTTGTAGCGCGAGAACGAAATACGTTCGTAAATTGATCTAATCTTGCAAAGCCGTAGGTAAACACGAAGAAACTGTGATTAAGAGCAACATTAGGCACCGCAATATTTTTCTTTTCAATTTGAAAGAAATGCTACACGTACACACATATACATACACATATTACGGTTATTAGGAAATATTCATTTTCATCATCACAGTAACGTAAAATTAATCACCGGTATTACTAGTCCAGGATATCTGTATGATTTAATTGAACACGATACGATTAAATGATGTATTGTTTTTTTTATTTTGAACGTGATACGATTAAATAATATATTTTTTTCTTTTATTTTCCCGAGTAAATCGAATTTCGTGAAAAGACGAAAGTGTCTCTGCATACACGCACATCCGTGACCTATTTAACACAATTTAAATAACCTTTCCTTAATTTTTGTCGCGTGCGCACCTAATTCAAAAATTGCTCCCCTTAGCAAATTCACGCGTATTCATTTCACCATCTCAGCCCCTGCGCCGTTGTTACTACAACAACAGATTTGTTACGTTAGGGCGATAATCTGACAATTGCCAAACTTCTCCGAGATATGTCGAAAATGTTTTTGCTGTTCTTTCCGCGAGATGTCACACATGCTTGGTGGAATGCCCTCATGGATCACGCCCGGTGGCAGCCGGCGTCATCTTCGATGGTGGTGTAGGTGCATGTGTGCACACAGCGCGAGCAATACGTCATGGCAGTATTGCAGTCTAAATCTCGGTACTTTTATGGGCAGTAAAGTAAAACGGTCTGACAACAACTCCGGTAGCCACACACGCCTCCCATCTGTCTGTCCATCAGTGTCGCGCGCTGTCCGATTCACGTATTAATGGACACAATGTATTCGTAATCAGACAAGCGAGCCTTCAATTTCCCAAATCTAAAGTGAGATTTCAAATTACACTCGAATCTTATCGAATCCGATTTTCTCGATCTTCAAGATCTCGCTGAACGATTAAGCAAATTTTCACTTATGCGTTGTTATCGGATATACGATTGTTATACGCAACAATTCACTGCTAAATAATGAAAAACAATGAAGCAGATGTTGTCCAGGTTTCGGTTGTGATTCCCAAATTCCGGGTATTGCGCGGGATTAATGTTAAAAAATCGATCATCACCCGAGCGATCATAACCGGAGACAATCAAACTTTATCGAGTGGATCGGGGGATAAAATGAGGGAGGGAGGGGGAAATAAGCGGGAAATTCCTCATCGTCTGGCGTCATGTGAGGTAAATAATCCGGGTATACATGCCCGTGTTTATACGATTAATGAGATCCAATGTGACGCGAATGAAAATGGAGGGTCGATTGGTCTGTCATCGGCGTGCCAGACAATGAAACGGTTTCGAATCGCGATCGTGTCGGCGTACACGTGTACTAAGTAGGAAGCACAACTCGTGCTTGAATACGAGTGTAATAAATCGCGCGGGAGGCGCGAGCCACCCGACGTTTGTTGTACAGGCGACGCGATCATGAATGGACTTTATAGCAGCCCGCCCATTTATAGGTAGTATGCGCGGTTTAGTAGCTATGGGCTTAGTACGACGCGGTTGTATACAATCCTCTGTTTACTGCGAGTACGTACCTAGGAAACGGTAGGTTTACCGTCAGATTTTCATTCGAGCCTTCGACTATTCACTGCATTAACACGAATTAACCTGCGGACACCGCGATCCGTACGGGGAAGAGAAATCTATCGTCGCAATTTTTGCGCGCACTTCGACGTGCCCTCGTCGCCCATTACATCGACGGATTGCCAAGTGTCGTGTGTTGTTAACGCGATTTCGTATTCCATAAGTCGAGAAACCGACCGAGTCGGTAGAAGTAAATCTCGCGAAATTTATACTCGTGAAATTATCAACGTGTTAATATATTTCCATTATTTTTATATAATTATTATACAAAAAGTTGGGAAAAAAATTGTTGATGTTGTATCAATTGATTGGCCGATTGAAGTTGGAATCGACGTTACATGACTTACCTTGTATACCGGCCAGTGTTCCGGGCTGGAACACGCGGGAGAACCTGCGAAATTAAATTAAATTAAGAAATAATTGAATTAAACGGTTCCCGATGACAGTTGTGAGTATGTGCGATCAAGCATAAAATATTTTGCAAATAGAGCTTTCTTTACGAAATGCGAAATGTGTGTGACAAAAACTCCAAATAGGAGAGAAAATATCAGATTTGACCATAGATTTGTTTGACGAAATAACATGTTTAAGAGATATAGTTACTATAATTAGTAGAATAATATAATCGTAAAATATAGTAATAATACTTATGTATTTCTTAGATTTAAGAGAGATGGTTGCGTTACCGTTTAAGCACAAATTAATAAACACTAATAAGTCTGAGGATGCCAACCTGCTGCACAGATCGAACGGGTGAAACGTCTTCTCCACGGCGCCGTACACTTTGAGGCCTTTTATTGACAAGTCTGAGAAGAAAAACGTCAGCCTGTAAAGAGAAAACGCAGAAGCGCAAATTAAATGGCCTGTTCGCCGATAACTGCCCTTCATAACGGACCGTGTCACCACGAGTTTTATACGGCTTTTAGTAGCTTCTATCACGGCAGGTATAAAGTTCTGTACCTTGTACAGCCGTTAATGCGACCGCGCCATAACGAA